GCCCAGCGAATTTAGCAACATTTAACAAAACTATAACACAGATGCTCTGACCTGTTGATCCAGCACTCTCATTTCTAGGAATCTACCCTGAAAATACACTTCCAATAGCATGAAAATATTTGTACACAAGGTTTTCTATAGTTTGTCCCCCCAAACCTCATGTTGAAATTTGATCCTCAGTGTTAGAGGTGAGGCCTAATGGGAGATGTTTTTGTCATGGGGGCAGATCCCCCGTGAAAGGCTTAGTGCCATCCTCACTGTAATGAGTGGGTTCTCACTCTTAGTTCCTGCAAGAGCTGGTTGTTATAAAGAGCCTGGCACCGCTTGCCTTTCTCTCTTGCTTCCTCTCTTACCACATGATCTCTGCACAGCCAGCTTCCCTTCACCTTCCACCATGAGAGGAAGCAGCCTGAGACCCTCACCAGCAGCCAAGCAGTTGCCAGCGCCATGCTTCTTGTACAACCTGGAGAATTGAGCGAAATAAACCTCTTTTGTTTAGAAATTACCCAGCCTCGGGTATTTGTTTATAGCAACACTAAGCGGACTAAGACAAGGTTGTTCTTTATAGCAGTTTAAAATTGAAAAATATTGGATGTACCCTACATGTCCCTATATAGGAGTGAGGTTGAATAAACTATGGTGTAAGGTATATCATACATGGAGTTCTATGCAGCTATAATAAAGAATGAAGATCTCCATGATGTGCCGATATGGAATGATTTCCAGGTATGTCAGGGGTCCACAAGACCACCTCTAGGTTTTGTGATTAACTAGAACTCAGGACTCAGCATTTAGTTCTCACAGCTAAGATTTGTGACAGTGAAAGGATACAAAGAAAATCAGCAAAGGGAAAGGGGGCATAGAACAAAGTCCAGTGGAAATCAGGTGCAAGTTTCCAAGAGTCGTTGCCTAGTGGAGTCACACTTTAACCTCATCCGGGAACAAACTGTGACAACACATACAAATTTTGTCTGCCATGGAAGCTTGTTAGGGACTTGGTACCCAGCGTTTTACTGGGGGCTGTTCACGTGGGCATCTCTGCCTAGCACATACCAAAATTCCAGGCTCCCAGAAGGAAAGCAGGCGTTTAGCATAAACCATATTATTGTATAGCTGCAGTGAGCCACTCTTATCATTTAGGAAATGGTGGAATCTCCCAAAATCTAGTTTATAGATGCTAGCAAAGGCCAACTTTGCAAGTAGACCTTTCTAAGGATAGCAGTGAGGCCCAATATGTTGTCTCTTTTCTGAAAACCAGGATATACCGAAAAATGCAAATGAATATTTATAGTATCCTCCCTTTCATACTAGAAAGAAGGGGAAATAAGCATATATATAGTATCTGCTGATTCGTTAAAAAACAAAAAAAACCTACACACATGTATACATGAGAAGGATAAAGCAGAAACTAATGAGTTTTATTATCTATACCAAGTGAGTGGGAGCAGGGTGGACAGAATGGGGAAGTGGGAATGGACTAAAAGGGGTGGGAGAAAGTGATGGTTCTGTAAGTATA